GCCTCTGTCTCTAAGTCTGACTCTTGCTCTTTCTGAAACTCCGCATCTCAGCATTCCTCCTCTATTAATGTTTTTCCCAGCATTACAATGAGAAGTAACTCCTACTATTAACTAAGCAGTTCCACCAGGAACTAATTGCTGCTGGCTAGTCTGAAGGAGCTGAGTGGGGGAGGGCTGCTCTGTGAGGCAGAAGCTTGGAAATTTAATAACTGTAGCTCAAAGGCAGAGTTTTGTCCTTGAAGGCGGGACTAGGTCCACCCAGGCGTTCTGCACAGCTAAATGGTTGTTGTGGAGATAAAATGATTTCTTAAACATGCATGAAAGAATCAAGGCAACACTCCAGGTATGTTTTTATGAGGGAATAACAGTAGAACATGATGTAAAGCTAAAAAAGTTAATTTTACATAACACTGCCCCTTTGATGTGCTGTATTTATTCTGCTTTTTAAAATATGGTGAAAATGTTGACTTTTCAAAAGATTTGCATCCTGTTTAAATATGATTCCTGGAACCTTGATAAATAAAAATTTTAATTACCTTTGGAAAGAGACAATAAACCATACCAATTTATCTAAACAACTTCTATCAGTGCTGTTAGAGAACTCAACTCTGATTACTGACCTTTGGATGTCCAATGTAACTATGAATTGCAATATTACTACTTAAATAAAAGTGAACATATCACTTTTATATAAGCAGCAAACCATTTAAGTTGTATATTCTATGTACTTGTTTTGGTCCGTTTATTTACTTGTTTAAATCACAATTAAATAATGGCATTCTACTGTGTAGACAAAAATCTTAAAAGAAATTTTAAAAATAATAATGTATATTGTTGTTGTAACGAGCATTAGAAAAAAAACCTTACATATCGGTGATGAAGTTGGAGAATATGCCTGTAGTCAGACTTCATAGAAACAAATCAGTCAAATGTTTACTCAGCAGATTTACAATTAAAAATGATTTGTCAAACATCTAAAAATTTATTTAAATCCTAAACAAATGGCTGAACTACAACATGCTCTGGTAAACAATTAAAAACTCTGCAAATTCACCCAATAACTGTGCCACTCCTAATGGTTGGTTTTTAAGACTTTCTGTGATAAATTATGATTTGGTTATTTTGAGATTTTAAAAATCATAACAGAAAACTCAAAGACTGTAAATGTAAGAGAAACAGAGGAAATTATGAAGACGTTGGGACAAGAGTCTGCTTCAGGTTTTTTGCTACGTAATTTTTTTCTCAGTAGCCCCTAACAGGCTGAGCTGAAGCTAAGCTATTCTGTGTAAGAAGCAATAAAAAATAAAAAAAATATATATGAGAAGAAAATTTTTATTTGTTGGGGAATTGTTGAAGGATATAAACATTGAAATGTATTTTTCTACAGTATTTTGCATCTGTGTACTTTATTCATATAGTGAGATCAAAAGTGATCGTTTTCCTATAAACATTGCAGTTCGTTTTTTCATCATGGCTCATCTGTTCTCCATCTTTTCTTAAACTTCTTAACCCATTAAAGGTTCCATCAAAGGTTTCTGCTTTTCTCAGCTGAATATAAGGCGAAAGAAGAAAGCTCTTAAAATACATGAGGGACAAGCGGAAAGGGAAACCCTAATCTCTTTCAGCTTCCTTTCTGCGCACAAACACTGACTAAGCCTGAAAACAGTTGGGAAAAAGATACCAAGACACTCTACAGTAATTTTTCCTGGAAAGTTTGTTTCCTGAGCATGTCAGTCACATGAAAGACTACTTGTAGAAATTGATACATTGGGGTTTTCTAAATGTATACAGGTTGACGGTTAGATCTTGAAGTGGCTGACAGCTCCCTCTTGACCCTAAAAGGTGAAATTTTTTTGTAAAATACTTTGCTGAGCTGACCGATGGCTGTTAGCAGGAAGCGGAGCCTCCAGGGGCCACACAGAGTTCACACAGGTCAGCAGACAATGACTTCTGTGTACTCACCCTCAGACTTGAAACAATGAAGAGTTAGGAAAAGTAGAGGTTTCTGTTTGGTCCCCATCAGACACATCACTCTAATGTACAAAAAGCATCAAAGTTTCCAAAAAAGATTGTTTTTGTTTCATGTTCAGTTTGGGTAAACCTTTACACTGATGATCCCAACACTGGAAGATTGGTAAACATTCATTAATATCAGGACAAGTGATGTCAATACCTATCCGATCTCTGTACATTGGGTTAGTCAACCAAAAGACCAAATGATTTTGAAGTCATAAACTGTTGACATTAGCATGCTTTTGACTATCCTGGCCATTGCCCTGCTATGCAGTTAGAATCTCTCTTCCCTGCTCCATCTGGGATAGTGTTGTAGTCAAGACCACCTAACCCGAGACTAAGACAAGACCAAGACCAGAGTGCATCGAGACTGAGACAAGACCAAGACTTTTAGGGTCTGAGACCAAGTCGAGACCAAGACCGAGAGAAATCGAGACCGATTCAAGACCAAGACCAGCGCCCCGCACTACATGACATGATAAAATATGAAATATAATCAAAATTGCTTCTCAAATTGATCTGAAAGATTCACATTCTCATAAAAACACCTGAATATTAAATACTTGCAGCTTAAATAAATTTAACCAATATCAATCAATTCAAACTCTTTGTTTTGCTTTGCTTCCATCTGTATACTACAATCCCCGGAGGTCTCGTGCCATCCCTAAAAAGATAACACCCTGGGTATCAGAAACCACCACTGTCTGCACCATTAAACATAGCAATTAAGGCAATTATCTAATGGTAAACAATGCTCAACTATGAACACTGACCAAGGAGCAACAAGCAAGAAGTAACCAAGCACAAGGCACTCTCCTTGACTTTCTCACCCTCTCTCCAGCTGCATGAAGCCAGGAAGCGCAGTGCTGTAATGTCTGCCACCATGACAAGTGATAAAAACAATCAAAGAGCAAAGCATGCTCTGCTTGCTTTTCCGTTCTTGTGTTTTATTTATTCGCTAATTAAATAAATATCAATGTATATAATAAATTAGAATGATAATAGCTACTGCTGTGTACGCAGACCATTACAAGAACAAATGGTTCTCAGTGAGGCTCCAGTCCTATCTTCTTAGTAAAGAGCCGTTCAGAAGAATCGGATCGTTCTTGAATGTCACGTCACTATATTGCAGACTTTGGTCACAGCATTGTCTCATATATGCAACATATCAGTGAACACCTCCGCACAATAATTCAGAGCAGTGAGTGACAACTTTTTTTCATCACAAATGTAACGTGTCTCTGTACAGCTAGTATTGCCAACGTCATGTCCACAAAGATTACCTTTCTTTGCACTTTTTTCCTAAGTGATGAAAAATGTTAGACATAGTCCCACCGTCTATGAAAGTGAAGCACTGCTGAATTAGCTGTTGCCATAGAATTTCTTATGATTTATATAGCACAATTCTGTCACTAACGATTAGACAGACATTTGTTGCTCAGAGAAAACAACTGTGAATGTCTTGGAATCCTGCCTGCGAGTTCAAGGGGGAGGCGTTGGGTGGCAGCGGTAACAGAAATACGTATTTAATAAGTCCCATACCGATTGAATTTTAATCGGTATGTTTTGCATCCAGTGAAAACAAAGATGTTAAACTATACAATATGCGGGCAATTTTGTGATAATTTTACAGTTGGGGTCTTGAAATAAAATCCCGAGTCCTCAACACCCGAGACCAAGACAAGACCAAGACCAAATGAGACCGAGACCATCAAACAGGGGTCCTTAGACCGGTCTCGAGTACTACAACACTAGTCTGGGATTTCTCCCACTGAGCTCAGTTTCTCCAGAAAAAAATTCAAGCAGGCCAATCAGTGAAGACAAGGAGAACTGTGAATGAAGACGTTAATTTTTTGCTCTATTTTAAAATTACTGCAGTTTCATCAATGACAGTGGAGGAAGCTGTTCAGTCGTGTTGGCCAGGCCTCCAAATATTAAATTAACATCAACAGATGCCTTGTTCAGATCGGCTCTTAATTCAGGGACAAGAACGTATGAAGCAGATGGATCTGGGCCAGGTGACACAGTAGATCCTGGAGCCAGGCCCATTTCAGTAACAGAGGAAAAGGAAGAAGGGGAGCTGGCGGACGGGAAGGAGGAAACAACGAGGAGACAGAGTTCTGAAGGAGGCTGAGGAGCATATGGGAGGCACAGAAAACAACAAAAATGACGCAGCTGGGAGTCAAGGATGGATCCCAGACATTGTGAACTGAGCGAAGGGACAGAAGACGAAGAAAGAGGACGGAAAGGCTGAAGAGAGGAAGTCTGAGCAGGTGAGAAAGAGGGAGATAAAAAATAAGAGGAAGAGCGAGGTTTCCCAGACCAGCGTCATTCCTGTCCGGCTGGTTTATGTCTTTAAATGGGAGCAAATAGAAAGCTGACCTCTGGGCAGGAGAATGGATGTTGACTAATGTTTCACACATGATCAAAACTATTTAAAATTGGCGACAGGCATATCTTTGATAATTATAGACCAGTGGTTCTTAACCTTTTTTGAGGTACTGAATCCACCAGTTTCATGGTGGATTCACTACAGAAGGCATTCACTGAACCCTTCTGTAGAGATTTTTTTTTTTTTTTTTTTTTTTTTTAAAAAATCGGGGGGACCCCAAAAGAGGCTTTGTGGGGTC